TGGTGCTAAATTAAAACAAAAGAATATGAAAAAAATATGGTGACATTTAGATAAATATTTTAAACTTCAAGTGTATCGACCAACACTACAAAGTGCAATGCTAATAAAGAAATGTGCACAAGTGATATGTAAGTGCATTCTCTTGAGTTCCCTTCAAATTGTTGAGAATGTAAATTATTATTGTTAATCTTCATAAGAAGTAACATGCATGACTAGCATTTACTAAAGAATATATTATCTTTGGAACCTAAATCAACACATGTATAATGTATTTACTAATATTATATTTAGTGTAATAGTTTAGTATAGGCAGTGCGATGCGCTGTCCATTTCCATGCGGGCCCCACATATCAGACCAAAACTCCTAACTCCGGCAAGCAATTCACTCATTCTCGACAAATTATGTTGTGGACACGAGTCCAAAACGACGTCGTTTTCAGGGAAAAGGACAGTATTCCAGTTTTTTTTAAAAAATGATTTTGTCTCGCCGTTAACAACGTTATTCATTTGTGGAATTATGAATGTACAGTTATGGAATTATGAACACAGAGCTCTGATATTACGAACTTACAATTATGAACATATTGTGATAAAATTATGAACATAGAGCTCTAAAATTGTGAACATAGAGCTTCGAAAATTATGAATGTACAATTATAGAATTATGAACACAGAGATCTTACATTATGAACTTACAATTATAAACATATAGTGATAAAATTATGAACATAGAGCTCTAAAATTGTGAACATAGAGCTTCGAAAATTATGAATTTACAGTTATTGAATTATGGATGTACAGTTACAGATTTACGAATGTACGATTGTGGAAGTATGGATGTACAGTTATAGAATTATGAACACAGAGCTCTGACATTATGAACTTACAATTATGAACATTTAGTGATAAAATTATGTACATATGCTCCTATAATGAAGCGGTCTGAAATTAAAAAAAAAATAGTGGAAGATAATGGTGCCACTAATGGCACTCTTACCATGTCCACAATGTATGCTAGACACAGGTCCATAGCATAACGATGGCTCATTCTCTCTCTTCCTATTCTTTTTCCACATAATCCATTTTCTCTTAGGGTCCGTTTGGAAAGTAGGAAAATGACTTCTGGAAAATGACTTTTGGAAAATGAGTCATTTTCCAGAAGTCATTTTCTTTTCCTGTGTTTGGCTGCACAATGGAAAACTGTCTTTTGGTGTTTGGCTTATTTTTCAGAAATGATGTAGAATTGTATAATTAAACATTTTATATAATTAATTATTTTGTTTAAAATATATAAAATTTACAATAATATTATAAATAATAATATTTATTTTTAAAATCAAATAATATTATTTATTAAAAAAAAAAACATAATATTCATGGTTTCCGGCGGAAATCAAAATCTGGTTTCCGCCGGAAACCATGTCATGGTTTCCCGACATGGTTTTCGCGCAGGAAACCATGTCTGGTTTCCGGCGAAAACCAAGATCTGGTTTCTGTGCGGAAACCAGATGGGTTGTTTACTATATATATATATATATATATATATATATATATATATATATATATATATATATATATATTTATTTATTTATTTATTTATTTATTTAAACCTTTGGTTTCTGGCGGAAACCATATTTCCGCCGGAAACCAAAGCTTAGGAAACCCGCCGGAAATCAGTGAGCCCAAAAGCCAAAGGATGAAGAAGCCAATGAAGATGAAGAAAGTCAACTGCTCTTGAAGTGAAGAAATGAAGAAGTCAACATCTGGAAAATGACTTCCCCTTTTTTAAAAGGGAAGTTGTTTTCCTTAAAAATAGGCTCATTTTCCATTGACCAGTACCTCATTTTCAGTTGACTTCAAATTTTCCTTCTTTCCAAACATTGAAAACCCGAAAAATGATTTCCAGAAATCATTTTCCGGATTTCCAAACACACCCTTAATTAAAACCTGTGAAGATCCCTCCATTGGGGATGACCTAATTATTCATTATCCTCAAAAATGTCACTAATGCCCTTGCCTCCTCAGAAATTTATTATAAACAACTTAGGGATGAAGTTCACTCATAAAAAGAAGCTTTTATTAAAGCTTTACACCCAATGGCCACACCTGCACACCTCTACTTTAGGGTCGGTTTTAGATCTTTGTGAATCGTTCTTGTAAATAAATGTGACACTATCAAAAGTATAAACGCAATTTTTAAAATCAAACTATCATACTAACCAAATATCTCCAAAGTTCAAACAAACAATTTTTTTTTTTTTTTAAAAGACATCTTAGCTTGAAACTACCTGGCTAGTGACTACCTGCTGGGTTGTCGCTATCTTTTGGAATGCAAGTAGATCTGTTAGGGGAATAATCAATTTCTTAGGCGGCATTGGTGGTTAACTGGTGAATGATAAAGGTTTCAAGTTATCTCTGCGGATTCAGGGCTTGAGATATCATATGTGTCGTCAGGAAATAGAACGATTTTTTCATGCCGCATGCTCAATTAATTAGGTCTTAATTATTAGGAGAGAGAAGTGATTTGGGTAAAAAATTGATGAGTTTCACAATTAATTGTAATTTTTTATTTTATTTCTCAAGTAGCTAGGTCAAAACTAAATATTGGACCCTCTAAAAAGTGAGGCTCTATGCTCTTCTACATTTTACACACCCTAAGATCCGGCTCTCTCTACTCTACAACTTGTTTTAATACATTGACATCTCAATCAGTTTATGTTAGATTAATCACACAAAGTCCCTGTCTAGGAATCATTAGAGGGCGTGCATAGTACTGCATAAAATGAGTCTTCATATTTTTTGAAAATACATCAACTATAGTTGGAAATCAACATAACTTCTACTTCCACCACTACGAGATTAAGTTTTTTGTAGACTTTATTCAATTAATCTTAGACTATACCTTTAAACTTTATTTTAAATTGGTATTGTTAAGACACAAATTAAAGCCAAAAGGTGACAAGGAGCACTGCAATAAGGAGGAGACATAGCATCATCAAGGACAATATTGCTACTTCATTATAGGATGCTAGATCATGATTATGCTAATAGTTTCATTTCAAAATGTTAAATTATAATATGTAAACAAATTTATTTAAATTCAAAACTATTTACATTTTATGAAAATGTCATTTTTAGTTTTTTTTTTTTTATTTACATTTATAACCTTATGAAAAAACTAATTTTACCAAACACTTTTAAGTATAATTAGTTAGCTTAATCACTGTTCTTCACTTTTCAACTTCTAGCTTATAACTTTTCAACTTTCAGATACTTTTCAGCTTTCAACTACCTTTTCAATAGGGATGCCAATAATGTGCCCCTTTCCCCGCCCCGGATGAGAAGGAAATGAGGAAAAAAATTTGGGAACGGGGACGGGGAATATACTCCCTGCCCCTGCCCCACTGCCATCCCTACTTTTCAACTAGGTTTGTCAAACATAGCCTTAGTCTGGGTGTATTGTCGAATATAATAAATTTAGGTGAGTGATTAAGTATATAACAGTGATGTCTCTTCATCTTCATCGTGCAGTTGGCAACTCTTGGAGATTATTTTGGGCATGGAGAGCAAAAACACAGGTATATATGCAAGTGCAATATTAACTTTAAAGTGGAATTTTCAGAATGTAACAATTAGATCCACTCTATATATTGTAGGAGTTTGGATGATGTTTCAAGAAATCTCAAAGTTCTCAAAGACGCTGCTATTGTTCTTTTCCTGGTAATAATTCCATAATCTTTCCTTCTTGGGAGTGGCACTCATCATATCAACTAATGCTTCTTAGGACAATTAATCAAGTTAGTCAGATTGTTGATTTAGTAATAATAATATTATTTTAAACCAATCAACTATGAATAATTTTATGATTCTTTACCGGTTAGATCATAAAATTAGGTTTAATCCATGCACACATTCCATTCAAATAATAGTTCCTATTGGGCGGAAGTCAATGAAATGCCAAGTCTAATAATTGATTAGTGGCTAAGGAATAGTTGGATGAAGACTTGAAATGTTAAGTCTAGTATCATTTCATAAATAAAATGTTGGAGTGACTTGTAAGTTTGTGAATTATTGAATCTCCAAGCTAAGCTAGAAATATGCATGGCCAACCATATTCACTATATATACCAACCTAACAATCTTCATTTCCTCATTCCAAATAACATACTATTTTGCATTTCTTTCTCCTCCGTTTCCGATCCATTGTTTTTTTCCGTTCTCCTTCCCTCCTTGAATAAAGAGAAGGAGAAAACAATGGCCACCAAAATCCTCCGTATTCCCCTCCTTCTCATCATCTCCATCGCTCTCTCCCTCCCCGCCCAGGCACAAAACGCCCCCTTCGACGACAAAGACGGCGGCGGCTACGCCTCTGCTGTCAACTCCATATCCGCCACCCCTGAGGCCTCTCCCGCCGCCGCCCCCTCCTCTGACGAACCCGCTCCCGGCGGCTCCTACGACCCCTCCCTGGACGCCGAACCCGCTGCCGGCGACTCTTCGGCTGATTCCTCCTCCTCCTCCACCGCCGGCGATGACTCTTCTTCGGCGAATTCCTCCACTACCACCACCCTCACCCTGAAGGCCATTCCGTGGAGAAAATCGGACAATCTGGACAACGAACCCATAATGTCTTACGACGTCCCGAAGGATATGCAGAAGAGCGTGAAAATGTTCGTCCAATCCACGATGCAGGTATCCGAGGCGAAAACGCAGAACTTCATCGACACCGTGATCGAGAAGAGGCTGAACGATCCCCAGATCGGCACCTTCACCAAAGATTGCCTCCGCACATGCAAAGAGGTTTACGAGGACGCCAAGGACGCCATGAAGAAGACGCTGGAGGATGTCGACGCGGGGAACTACTACAAAGCCAACCTCGACGTCAGCGCCATTTCCTCCGACGCCGACACCTGCGAGGAGTGCGTCAAAATGGTGTACGGCAAGGACCAGGAGTTGGACAAGTTTAACAAGTGGGTCGACGGCGTTATTGACCAGTGCCTCACCATGATCACCGGCTATAAAGCTTAATTTTCTCATCCCATGTAGCAACTTTACGTACATACTACTTATCAGAAATGCAAAATTAACAAAAAGTTATATTATATTTTTTCTTTGGTGGGGTTAACCCCTTCCATACTGGAAAGGATCAAGACAAACAAACCAAATTACCAAACTCTAATTGACGAAGCCCCAAACGCGTCTGCAGAGAGGAGCTGATCCCTCGTGTTAATTACTTCTACCCATCCTGGCCGCCGCCGGCATCCTGCAAACCCATCGTCCACATCCCTCGTGTCGACCGGACAGCGTCAACTTCGTGGTTGATCTTGATTAGTGGTCATTTGGCAAGCTAACTTGGCAAGCAAGGCGTCGTTTAAGTCCATGCATTTACGGAGCCCCAACCCGCCCGAGTTCTTTGGCCTGCAAACCTCATTCCAACCCACGAGGTGGATTCTTTTTTTTTTTTTTTTGTTGAGAGTCCCCCCAAAGGAAGCTTCTACAGATTTTGTCTACCTCATTACAAATTCCTGACGGGAGCTTGAAAGCTTGCATCGTGTAAGCCGGCATGGAGGATAAAACTGATTGAACCAAGACCCTACGACCTGCGAGGCTGAGAATGTCCGTTTTCCAGTTGGCTAACTTCCTTTTCATACCTTCAAGAATGTACCCGAAAGTATGATTTGTCACTCTTTGATGAAGGATAGGAACCCCAAGATACTTCCCTAAGTTGTCCGTTACCGGAATACCCATGTTGAGCATATAATCAACAATTCAACTATCAGAAATTGGTATCAGAGTCAGACTAAAGATCATACGACTACGGTCCATTAGAACCCACAGCACACCCAGGCCAAGGTCACCCCAGGACGCTGAAACTCGCAAATTATGCCATGGAATCGTGTTCACCGAGAATGGTGAGCACAAGGCAAAACGACGTCGTTTTTAGGCAAAAAAAAAAAAAAAAAAATTCGCCGATGTGGAGTTAACGGCGCGCGTTTGATCAAATTATGAATTTTCTATTATGAGATTATGAATTTTATAATCTCATAACAGAAAATTCATAATCGCATAACAGAAAATTCATAATCTCACAACTGATAATTCATAATCTCATAACAGAAAATTCATAATCTTATAACAGAAAATTCATAATCTCATGGTTCCAAAGTGAATGTGTAGGCATGGTTCCAAAGTGAATGTGCAGGCATGGATTCATAATTTATGAATGTCCGTGATTTCGGACGGGAATATGTAGGCATGGTTCCAAAGTGAATGTGCAGGCATGAATTCATAATTTATGAATGTCCGAAATTATGAATGTAATGAAAATTCATAATCTCATAACAGAAAATTCATAATCGCATAACAGAAAATTCATAATCTCATAACAGAAAATTCATAATCTTATAACAGAAAATTCATAATCTCATGGTTCCAAAGTGAATGTGTAGGCATGATTCCAAAGTGAATGTGCAGGCATGGATTCATAATTTATGAATGTCTGTGATTTCGAACGGAAATGTGTAGACATGGTTCCAAAGTGAATGTGCAGGCATGAATTCATAATTTATGAATGTTCGAAATCTTTGTTCACCTCAAATTAAAGTGAAACCGCAAAATGTGAAAATAAAGAAGAAAAGTCACGCAATTAATTAAGAAAAAAAAAAGATAACGGTGTACTAACACCGTTGGAACCGTGTTCACCATGAATGGTGAACACAGTTCCATGGCATAACGTCTGGCTGAAACTTACCAAAAATAAAAGAGCGAAAACCTAATGCCGGTGGGAGCTTTATTTTTCATATATTATATATATAAATAAAAAGAAACAATTATTGTGAAGAGTGATGGCAATTAAAGCATCGATCATTGACCGTATAAAAGTAGATATATAGTTTATGTTCGCAACAATATAAATTTATGTATTGTTAATTTCTGACTCCAAGTTCACAATTTTGGTGTCAACCATTTTTCGCCATTAACAATATAATTTCGGCTTGATTGCGAATTGATTTTTTTTTTTTTTTTTATTACCATTAAAGCGCATTTGAAGCGTACCATATGTATGATACAAAACAAGATTCATCACAAGTTAATATTTAATTTATCCCGTATTTATTTACTACTAGTAGTATATTAAAGCACATTACACAATTAAATCAATGTCTAATGATAAAAAAATTCTAAAATTATATTATCAAAATAAATATAAAACTATTACAATTTTATTAAATTGTTAATTTATTTAGAATTTTATATTTACTTATAATATTTTTAATTAATTTTTTTGGTAACTACAATCTAACTCTATCTATATTCTATAGTAATTGTTGAACATGCATGAAGCATGATTACTCTCATCATTAATCCCGGATATATAATAATAATCATATGTAGGTGAAATAATAAACTACTTCATTTAATTCGATGATACTCAATGAATTAAAATACAAAAATTAATAAATTATATGTATTTTTTGTAAAACACGAAAATGTATTTTTATAAGTAAAAGTTAATGCAACCAATTGCATTAATATAGTTTCCTACCAATTGGTCTATGTTTAAATTATTTTTGTTTATTTTTATTATATGAATTTCTTGAATTAGTGTGAACAAAAGTTTAATTATGGTTAATATTATTTTAAATTGGTATGTGATGGAGAATAGTTGGTTGAATGCTCCTTGAATTAGTAAGGAATACGAAGACGGAGGTTAAAAAAATTGTAAACTTTGTAAAGAATAACCTCTCGAATAATAATGAGAGGTTCTTTTGTCCTTGTAAGAAGTGTTGTAATCAGAAAAGGTTAAGTGAAGACAATTGAAGATGACATATTTGATGATTTAATTTGTAATGGGATTAATCATGTGATTGTGAAGTTAGAAATTTTCTTGAATTAGTGCTTTTTTATTGGTTGGTTCAAGAATAAAGTATAATAATGTTCCTGAAACTGTATGATGGTTAGCTCATGGTCATGGTATGCAAGTCATAGGTTATAATGGATATGACATTAATGAGTTTTCTTTTTACACAAAAGCTCAAGATGAAATGAGCACTATACAAAAGAGTGGGTTTTTATGCTTGATAGACGTCAGTTTTTTATAACCGACATCGTATCATTTATTTATAACGTCTGCCAGAATGACATCGAAAAAAAACCGACGTCTCAAAAAACCGACATTAAAAGTGTTATTTGTAGTTGTGAACTTTGGGTAGTAAATTATATTGTTTGTTGTGCTGACTATATTTAATTACAAATTTTAAATTCAAAACTTGGGTCTACCAAAGTCACTTTCTACTCCAATTTTTAGAGTTAATACCCAAAATCAATATTGGTCTCTCTTTTAATTTATATTATTTATAATGATTAAATAAATCACCCTAGATATTTATTAATGTTTCTCTATACCCAAAATCAAATATTGAGCTCTTGACCTTTGGTTGAAAATATATCAGTCTCTTCCACTCAACCACATCCCCAAGTTATCTTCTTCATTATTGATAGTGTTGGAGACACCATATACCTATAAGTTTGATATTTAACAATCTATAATTATTTACATAAATAATAAAATATAGGAGTAAAAGACATTTTTGGTCCTAGACTTGTAGTAGCACGGACAATTTTAATCCTTTATAAAAAAATCAGACAATTTGTGAACACTCTTATTCTGACGAGGACAATTTTCGTCCTCCGTCAAAATTACCTTCTGTTGACTGTCTAAATGAGGGGCATTTCTGTCATTCAATGTGCTATTCTATCAATTCTGTTGACTGACGAGGAAACTCTTCTTTGTTAATTTCATTCATCTCTGAAGCATTCCCATTATACAAACTAATGAACAATGCTGGTATAGTTTCTGTATTTAGAGCAAAGCATACAAAATTTCATGGCTATTTTCGTTCAACGAAGAAGAATAGTGCCGAACAATTTCTGTAATTTGTCGGTTCTACTGCCGTCGCCTCCGCCGTTACTGTTGCCGTCGCGTCGCCTTCTCCACCGCTGTTAAATACTAGTGGTCAAGAAGGAATTATATCGATTCATCTCTGCAACTGAAGGAATCGGGGAAATGGACGAGCTATCGAGCGATGTGATCATCAAAACGTTATCGGTGTTGCCGATCAAGCCGCTTGCAATGCAGATTCGTCTGCAAATCCTGGCTCAACCTTATGCATAACCCGCATCTGATCGATACCCATCTCTCCTTTTCCTATGAAAACGAGACCCATTTTGGTCTCATCCTCAAAACCTCCGTCCCAATTGGCTGGACCCTTTCCCAGAGCAATTGTTCTTGGTGGCAAACGAGGGAGCTGATGAAGGTCATAGGTACAGGCTTACAATATAGCTTAGTATCTTCCTTCAAGTGCGTTCCAACTTCCAACAACTCCCTTGTTTGGGTTTGGATTGATTCTCAAACCCAGTTCTGGGAATGGGTTTTTGATAACATAGGTAAAGGTTTTGGGGGAGAAGAGAATTTGAACCAGAAATGTCTGTGAAGAGCAGAGGTGGAGCCGTGGAGGCGGCGAGGTGGTTTCCAAAAGTCTAATTTCTAAAAAAATGGACGCTTTTGCTTTGTATTAGTAGCTTCTGTGAAGGAGTGTTCTTCACCAACAGGGAAAAAGTTCATATCCGTTTATTTGCAATATGCATATAAGCTCTTGTGGTCCTCTTCCTTTTTTTTTTTTTTTTTTTTTTTGTTTTCATGGAATTTGAATTGATTTTCATCTGGCTGTCTTTGGGAACATATTCCTGGCGATTTGCTTCATTCTGTGTGCTTTGAATGGCACAAATGACACAACACAAGTCTAGAAGGGCTGCAAGAAGGAGATAACATGAAATGACACAAATACCCTCTTCTCAAACGGGCCTTTAACGGAAATGTAGACGGAAGACTAAAATTGTCCTCGTTATAATAAGTGTGCCCATAAATTGTCTAAATTTTTTATGAAGAACTAAAATTGTCTATGCGACTATAAGTCTAGGACCAAATTAAAATTGTCTCTTACTCTAAAATATAGAAAACGAATAACAATAAGGATGACTAGGCAAGAGTAATAAGTGAACAAAGAAGAATAATGAAGAAGAATGAAGAAGAACGGAGAGGCCCATGAAGAATAAAGAAGTCTAGGAAGAACGGAGAAGCCCATGAAGAATGAAGAAGTCCAGGAAGAATAAAGATGCAACCCAAAGGCAGAAAGGGCAGAGGCCCAAAAGGCCACGAGACTCGAAAGGGGCTCGGACCGAGTCTGGGAGTCGAACCGACTCCGAGGTCGGGGCAAGGACTCGGCCAGGAGGGCAGAGAGCCGTTGAAAGATATTAAAGAGGGCATTGAAGAGCCCAGCCAAGGAGCCGTTGGGAGGCCCAATAACGGCAGCCGAATGGCCCTGCGATATAACTAGCATTCACTACCCCTTAATGTACTTTAAGACCGAATTAAAGGAAAGCCTACTATATAAAGGTCCCTCCAAAGATGTAAAACAGGCGAGTCCATGCTCAGAGAATAGAGAGACACATTCGCTACTATCATTCATCCCTTTCTATTTCGAATAACTTTATTGAAAGGTGAATCCACCAACCAAGGTTGTGTTGGACCTCCGGGCCCAAAAATCCTAAAATCAACAATAATAATAATAATAATGAATTTGAAACATTTTTTTTAATGTGGATCAAGTCATACAGATTATAAATTACTCCGTATAAATTTATAATACATTGAGCAAAAATTAAGTATGCTGGAGAATTCGTTCCCAAAAATGAAGTCAAACAGCCAAAAAAAAATGTCAACCAAAATATAATATAATATAATAGACAACATCTGAAAATTAAATTAGAAATTTCGGATCCCCCTTGATCGATCTCGCCGGCGACCGCCGTGATAGCCACAAATTAAAATCGTCAGCCTACGGCGCGGGGCGGCGCATTAGTCAAACGGAAAGTCAGATCAGTTGAGCCGTCTGTGGGCGGCCTTGTTATATTGTATGATCCCTTTGTAAAGAGCCTGCCAATTCGGCGGCATTGACTCCAAAGTCTCACCACCGACGACCGCGCGATTTCTTCCTGCGGCCGCCGCCGACCGCTTCAAGTGATGATCGTCGCCGGAGAATTTCACCTTTCTCCTTTCTTGATCTTTTCCAGCCGTCGTCGTCGTCGTCTCTACAAGACACAACATACAACACATTATTAATTAATCCGTTAGTTGTATATATATATCGAAGTGTTTACGAAAGAAATACAAACATAAATACCCATTTTGGCTTCGATCTTGTTCATGAAATCAGTCGTGAGATGGTTGTGGAGGCGCACGGCGAGCAGAACGACGGTGCCCGACACCGCGAACACCGCCATGCAGCCGGCACCGAATGAATTCTCCATTTGTTAGTTGTTTCTCTCCAAAACACACATACTATACAGGAAATCAAACGATGGGTCGTTGGTTTTAAATTAAAAGCAGGGAACCAAAGACTTCAAGAGGGATGGGTGGCATGGGAAACGCCGAGGAAATGAGGAGACGACGACCAGAGAAAAGTTGACCGGCCAGTTGGAATTTCGGAGAAATTATTTAAGAGAGGAATTATGGCATGGGTTGTCGAGCTGAGGATCGGAGGAAAAAACGAATGATTAAGATTTAAGAATGAATGTTTGGTTGAATGGTCGTCGTCGGATTAATTAAAGGTTTTCGTCAAAATCAAATGCAAAACGTGACTGTTTTGAAGGTTGAAAGGTTGAATGACCCTTATATATTTAATAATTTGAATTTGAATTTAAATTCTATCATCACTAAGGGGTGTTTGGTTGGCATGAATTGTGTTGGAATTGAATTGCAATTTAATGAAATGATAAACTACGTTGTTTGGTTGGAGAGAATTGTAATTTCATGGAATTGCAATTCAATGAATTCATGCAAAGGTAAAGGGAAGGAAAAAACATATTTATCCTTGAATGTTATTATTAATATTATTACACAAATGGTATTTTAGTCTTTATATCACTTCTCCCATTTTCATTATTACTCCCTATCAAACAATGTAATTGTAATTTTTACTTTATTCACACCTTATTCTTTTCCCACCAAATTACAATTCCTTTCCCCCTTAATTCCTTCCTTCCAACCAAACGCCCCGTAAAACTGAAACAACGGCTTAACTTCAAGGATTCCTGATTCAACATCCACACACACAACCGTCGACCGTCGTCCCCTAATTATTCATTATCCTCCGAAATCTCACTAATGCTCTTGCCTCCTCCAAAAGTTGTTGAAAGACGGATTAATTTTTTTCCTTTTTCTTTTTAAATTATAAATAACTTAGGGATGAAGTTTACTCATAGAAAGAAGCTTTTATTAAAGGTTTACACCCAATGGCCACACCTGACACCTGCACACCTCTACTTCAGGGCCCATTTTAGATTTTTATGACATGTTGTTGTAAATAAATGAGACACTATCAAAAGTATAAATACAATCTTTAAAATCAAATTATAAGAATCCTACTAACTTAATATCTCCAAAGTCCAAACGAACAGATTTTTTTTTTTTAAATTTTAAAAACATCTTGAAAGTTGAAAGTACTTGGCTAATGACTACTTGTTGGGCTGTCGCTATGGTTTGAAATGCAAGTAGAACGATCTAGGGGAATAATCAATTTCTCAGGCGGTATTGGTGCTGAACTGGTGAATGGTACAGGTTTCAAGTTATCTCTGCGGATTCAGGGCTTGTCGTTGGGAAATAGAACGATTTTTTTAGGCCGCATGCTCAATTAATTAGGTTTTAATTATTAGGAGAAAAAAGTGATTTGGGTAAAAATTGAGAGTTTCATGATTAATTGTAATTTTTATTTTGTTTCTCAAGTAACTAGATCAAAAATAAATATTGGACCCTCTAAAGAATGAGGCTCTGTACTCTTAGACATTTTTCACACCCTAAAATCCGCCCCTCTCTACTCTACAACTTGTTTTGATATATACATTGACATCTCAATCAGTTTATGTTAGATTATCACACAAAGCCCCTGTCAAATTGAAGAATCGTTAATTAGAAGGGGTGCATAGTACTGCATACAATGAGTCTTCATATTTTTTGAAAGGACATCAACATAACTTCTGTTTTCACTACTGTGAGATTAGGTTTCTCGTAGTCTTTATTCAATTAATCTTAACTATACCTTTAAACTTTATTTTAAATTGATATTGTCTTAGACACAAATTAAAGCCAAACGGTGACAAGGAACTCTGAATGAGGAGGAGACACAGCATCATCAAGGACAATAATTCAATGTAATGTAAATAATGGAAAAGCACATTCTTACTTTTTGCTTTTTTGTTATATCTTTCACTTCAGTGGAAATTAAATGCATCTATTTCAGAACTTGTAATACTGGTGCAAATTGGGCATCTATTGACGAAGCAGTACAGCAATGGATTTGGCAGCAAAGCAGGGGCCGCAAGATCTAGAGCTGATAGCGTTCTTCGATTTGGAGACAGTGCGGACCGGAGAGCAGGAATGGGAGATCGTAGAATTCGGAGCCATATTAGTATGTCCGAGGACACTGGTGCAGGTAGGCGAGCCATATTCCACCTTAATCCGACCATCTAGAAAGGACATCGTCGACAATTTCTCCGACCGACCCAACGGCATTACACGACAGGCGATTGCTAATGCGCCGAGTTTCACCGAGGTTGCCGGTGATATATATGGAATCCTCCACGGTAAGCCCGCAGCTTAATTGCAATTCACTGTACTACTCCTCGTTTAGTATGTAAATGTAATTGGTGCATCTGATCTAGGGCGAGTGTGGGCTGGGCACAACATTGAAGAGTTCGATTGTGGTCTGATTAAGGAAGCGTACGCTGAAAGTAAGAGAAAAGCGCCGTGGTATAAATTCTTGATTGATACGCATCCTCTGCTAAGGCAGTGGTTTGGGAAGAGAGCTGGTGACCTCAAGGTATAATACTCAAATTTCTTACTCTTATTAATTGCTTCTGTTTGTCGCTCTTTAAAGTCTTATTAATTGATTGGTCGAGAAAATCTATCAAGATAGACAAGGACATTTGATACAGTATCAAAGAATAAGGTATCATCAATCTCAATTTGAGATGAAGGAGATTCGCAACAATATTATTATTTCATCTCCAAGATAGACAAGGATATTTGGTACTATATCAAAGAATAAGGTATCACCAATCTCAATTTGAAATGAATGAGATTCGCAACAATATTGTTACTTAATGTCCAAAATAGTCAAGGATATTTGGTACCGTATCAAAGAATAAGGTATCATCAATTTCAATTTGAGATGAAGGAGATTCGCAACAATATTGTTACTTCATTATGGGATATGGTAGATCATGATTATGCTAATAGTTTCATTTCAAAATGTTAAATTTTAATATGTAAACAAACCTATTTAAATTTAAAACTACTTAAATTTTATGAAAATGTCATTTTTAGTCTTTTTTACATTTATCAAAAAATTAATTTTACCAAACACTTTTAAGCATAATAAATTAGCTTAATCGCTCTTCAGTTTTCAACTTCTAGCTAATAGCATTTCAGTTTTAAGCTACCTTTTCAGTTAGCTAGGTTTGCCAAACATAACCTTAGTCTGGGTGTATTGTCGAATATAATAAATTTAGGTGAGTGATTAAGTATATAACAGTGCTGGCTCTTCATCTTCATCGTGCAGTTGGCAACTCTTGGAGATTATTTTGGGCATGGAGAGCAAAAACACAGGTATATATGCAACTGCAATATTAACTTTAAAGTGGAATTTGCAGAATGTAACAATTAGATCCACTCTATATATTGTAGGAGTTTGGATGATGTTTCAAGAAATCTCAAAGTTCTCAAAGACGCTGCTGCTGTTCTTTTCCTAGTAATAATTCCATAACCTTTCCTTCTTGGGAGTGGCACTCATCATATCAACTAATGCTTCTTATGGCAATTAATCAAGTTAGTGAGATTGTTGATTTAGTAATTAACAATAATATTACCCCGTATAAGTTTGATTATTTTGAGCCAATCAGCTATGAAACACTGTTAGAAATTATGAAATTTTCGACCATCTGAAAGTGATCTTAAATAAAGTTAAAAGTCTTGTTCCGACCACTTTTAGTATTTAGAAAAACCTTTGTTGCTATTTCCTACAACTTTTTGCTTTCAATTTGAAGATCACTTTTAAGTGGTCGAAAATTCCATAATTTCCAGCAGTGGAATAATATAATTTTGTGATTCTTACCGGTTAGGATCATAAAATTAGGTTTAATCCGTACACACATTCAATTCAAATAGTGGTTTCTATTGGGCGGAAGCCAGTGAAATGTCAAGTCCAGCAATTGATTGGTGATTGGTGGCTAAGGGATTGTTGGGCGGAGGCTTGAAAAGTTAAGTCCAGTATCATGTCTTTTGAAAATGTAACGGTATAAGAAAATAATTTATTTATTTTTTTGTACGAGCTATAGTTTTTGGCGGTAAGCATAGTGGTAAGGGTGAGTAAACTGGTCCGTAAACAACATAGTAGTAGGGATTTGATCCTAACAGTTTCCTTCTTCTTTTATATATGCAGGAATCGAATTTTCCTAATTTGCTTCCAGAAAACACATGGATTGCTCCGAAAAGCATATCCGAATCGTGTATTTCTGCAACTCATGCCCCTTTTAAAGATGGGTCTCAAAAAATATGTATATTGCATGAAAATTTACCGTTGCAAGTGCATTGCATGGGAATGAAAGTGTTATACGGAATAGATAAGAAGTTGAATGAGCCATGGTTAAGTTTTGCGGTGGTTGTGCCTCCAAAGCTATATGATGTTCTGAATGTTTGTGATGCTCATGCTCTGAGGAGGTTTGGGGAGTTGGGGATTAACTCGGAATGGAAACCAGTTGTAAAGGAAGACTATAATAATCATTTGGGAGAAGACTATAATAATCATCGTTACATCCATCTAAGGTAACTTTTCATTCTAATTTCGTTACAAAAATATATTTAAGTTCTAATTACAAGATACTTTCCTAAATAAATTAAAATATTCTATGAAAGTTAGACTAAAGTAAACATCCAAAAGAAGAAGACTTAATTAATTCCGACATCACACTTTTTTCATAAATAAAATGTCAAGTGACTTGTAGTTTGCAAATTGTCACTTCACTCTATTAAATATGGCAAGACGGGTAAAATTTTTTTAATAAAACTTAGAGCATTCTCATCAGGTTTCTTGGGTGATCTTTTCCTATGCAAAAGTTAGGAGGGGTTTTTTTAGTGGGATATTTTAAAAGTTTTTTATACTGTAAATGGTTTTTTTTTTTTTTGAAAAAAAAAAAAAAAAAGGCTTGTGAGAACATGCCTACGCTCAGTGCGCGCATTTTAATAACGTGCCCTCGAGGGGCAAATTATATCGTGCACTAAGGTAAACAATGCATTGTGTGTTCAGGCTCAAAACGACGTTGTTTTGTACTTTTTTCGCGTGTATGCTTTTAACTCTTTAAAAAAAATTATGTTTCGAATGTACAGAATTGTATAATAGAAAACACAGAATTTATACCTGAAAACACAGAATTTTTAAAACTAAAAATCCTCATACTTCGAATGTACAGAATTATATAATAGAAAACACAGAATTTTATAACTAAAAATTCCCATGTTTCGAATGTACAGAATTATATAATAGAAAACACAGAATTTTATACCTGAAAACACAGAATTTTATACCTAAAAACACACAATCTTTTTTAAAAGGATAAAAATCCCCTCTTTCGAATTTACACAATTTTATACCTGAAAACGCTGAATTTTATACTTGAAAACATGAAATTTTATAACTGAATATACATACATTTTCATCGCGTTAATTCCTCACACAACTTATCAAAACAACGTAGTTTTGGGAGGCGCGGGGCGCACATTGCTATGTGCGCCCTGGTGCACGGTATAACGATTGCCCTCTAGGTGATTCAAAGTGGTCGCTAGTTGGCCTCCACTTTGAGTTTAATTTTTGTTTGTTTGTTTTTTAATTGGAATGGTGGTTTCATTGTCAAATTCTTATTCGCATTTGTATTGCTATAATGAAACTAGTGTTGAGGGAAAATGAAACTGAAAAACATAGAAATATTGTTAAATGAAACTGAAGTGTAATTAAAATGACACATACTTCATGGTCCACACTGCTACATAGACTATGGTCCACGGTAAAATTTGTCAATCGTTATATTGTGCGCCCTGGCCCAAAACGATGATGTTTCTATAAGTTGATGGCGAGTTGACGTGACGAAAATCATTTCGTCCATCCAATCCCGTTATAGTTTTTTTTTTTTTTTTTAACACTTGTGTTTATGTGTATTATGTTAAGAGTTTATGTGTATTATGTATTATGTTAGATTATGTGTATTATGTTAGGAGTTTATGTGTATTCTATTATACAATTCTGTACATATGAAACATGATTTTATTTTTTTTTTAATTTTTAGAAGTTAACGGCAGAAACGGAAAAACAGTTCAGGACGCACAATGCATTGTGTGCCCTAGTGCACAACATAATTTGCCAAAATCAATGTTTATACTGTGGGCCAAGGTTCACAGAGTAAGATGGATCTCAATTTTAGATTCATTTTCAATATATTGCATGTTCATTTTTAGTGTATTACATGTCTATTTAGACTTACAATACGTTAAAATGAACATAGAGTTAATTCCATCAAAGGTCTTTTGTCTTTGGTGACAATTCCAAATTTAGTCCAAGACTACATTTTTGTCATTTAACATTTCAGACTATTATTTTGTGGACATTTTTAGTCCTTCTTATGACTTTTCCTATTTTTAGTAAAGGCATTTTTGTCCCTTCATATTTTTTATTTGTTGTTTTTCAGTTTCAACCGGTTTAATTGGTTTAGGACATTATTACTAAAAAACGGTTGAAAATATGGTTACTAAAAATCAGAAGTTACCTAAAATTTTAAACCAATTAAACCGGTTGAAACCGGAAAAATAACAAAAGAAAAATATGAAAGACAATCTTACTACAAATAGAAAAAGTCATGAAAATGACTAAAGTGTCCAAAAAAAATAGTCTGGGATATTAAATGGCAAAAACGATAGTTTGAGACTAAATTTGAAAGAGTTAATATCATCTGAGGTCCTCCGAGTATAGTGGTTTTGCCATGTTTAGTCTTAAACTTTCAAATTGACCATCTGTGGTCCTTCGACTTTCAAATTTAACCATTTGTGGTCCAAGTTAACCACCCATGGTCCTTCAAGTTTCGAAATTTAACCAGTCGTAGTCCTCTTGAAAGGACCATGGTTGGTTAAAATTTAATAGTTGAAGGACCATGGGTGGTTAACTTGGACCACGAATGGTTAAATTTGAAAGTCGAATGACCACAGATGGTCAATTTGAAAGTTTAGGACTAAACGTGGCAAAACCACTATACTCGGAGGAACTTAGATGGTATTAACTCAAATTTGAAATTGCCACCAAATACAAGAAATCTCTGGTGGAATTAACTCATATATATCAAAATATAATAAAATATTAAAAATGAATTATGTAGTAAACTAAAAATAAATGCACAATATAATCTGCTAGGGATAGTATTTCCCCTGCACATACATTTGTCTTCCTTCCCCTTCTGCTTCAAATAATCAATGTGTTGTGAAAATTAGCATTGACTATTGACTACAAAAGTCCAAATTCTTCACTCCAATGACCTCTTGAATGGTGAAATAGTTAAATATTCCTATACATAGCTATATGGGCTAATGTAATTGTTGATCTCTTGATTAGCAGCCTAAATGATGAAACAAAGATATGGAGAGATGGGCATCCCACCATGGAAAGAGTTGAGCATACTGAATTGGGTGATGATGAGCTGAAGATGTTGTTTGACCAAGAAGAGACTTATGTTGATGCATTTTTCTCTTTGGATACCTTCATCAACTATAACAAAATGGCTGGCATCACTTTGGTTGCTAAAAAGCTGTTTATACATCCCAGGCTCCCAGCTAGGGCTATATAGCATGGGGGATTGCCAATTGCCTGTGCTAGCAGCTACTTTATATATCCACATGCATGTATGTGTATATATATATATATATATATATATATATATATATGATGTATGCAGTTGTATTTTAGTTGTGAGGATATATGATTCCATGAACAAATATATATTGTCTTTCTAGAGTAAAAACGTGTTCGAGTTTCGTAATTTGACTAATGAGTCTATCTGAATTTAATATCTTACTTTAGCAACTCATAAATCTAATCGATAGTTTTTTTTATTTTTATTTTTAAAATATATTTTATGCATAACACACACACGCCTATGAGAACCAACATACTCATGAGTCCATGAGAATTAATCTAGTGCATTAAAAATATAGATATATGGATGAATTTAATTCAGAAATTAAAAACGTGTGTGTGCATATGGAGCATTATGTGTGTGCATATTAAGCATGTGTTGTGTGCAACATAAGGATTGCTTAATATGCACACATCATAATGTTTCATGTGCATACACCTATTTCTAATTCCTCCAATTAATTTCATTCATAAATCTTTTTTTTTTATTGAAGAAAAAAATAAAATGGACAAAAATTATGATTTTTTATATTAAACAATTAAAATATACCACATCATATATAAAATAAAAATACACGTAAAATTACTCAAAAAATAAAAAAAAAATGTCATCACTCTATGTTAACTGCCAGGTGCCCCTACGACACTTCTTGAAAGAGACTTATGCCGTGAAGTTAAAAAACAAAAAATCCTGAACACGTAATTGTGGGGCCTGTAGTAGTGGTTAATGATTTGCGTGACAACGAATCTGAATAATGTCAACTTCACATTAAGTTGCGTCATTGGGTTACAACTTGCATGCTACACAATGTAACTTCTCACGTGGATTTTGTTGATTTGCAGCCACAAATATTTCGATTTCTGAATATTATATATAATATTCATTTTTACTTATAATTTCATTCTTAATTGATCTAACATGCTTTCATTAATTTAGAAAATATAGGGGTTAGAAAATTGAAGAGTTTAACTTCAAAAAAAAAGAAAAAAAAAAATTGAAGAGTTTTTTTTTTTTTTTTTTAATTATAAAAGTGAAAAAATTAAAAATGAAAAAGTTGTTTACTAAATCAGTCCTTTCAATTTGAAATTCTATTTCCATTCTTCAATTTTTCGGGAGAAGATGAAATTTCTAAATAGCAATTCTCCAAATGGAAGAGTGGAGAAACACAAGTGAACAATGGTAGAGGTCAAGAGATTGAGACTTGAGAGTGTGTTTGGTTCGCACATGGAAATTAGAATTGGAATGAGAATCAAATACTTGGTAATGGTATGAGTTTTGGTGAAAAGTATTTTACATGTTTAGTAGTAGGGTGGAATTAGAATGATTACCAATATTGATATTTGGTTATGTATGACCATATAATGGGAGTAAAGGTTTTAAAAATACAAAAACAAAAAATCAAAAAATTGATAATAATACAATGACATCCAAATCACTAATATGAACAAAAAAAATAAAATAAAAATCAAAACAGAAATCTAAAAGCACTAATCCAAACTTAAAACTCATTTTACCAATAAGATGGAATGATACCTTTTTAATTAGGGAATGATATGTTTTAAATTAAAAGGATAATCAAATTCCATAGTTGTGTTTTAAAAAGTTATCAACCAAACACAACTATGATTTTAATTCCCATTCCTAATGCGTAAACCCATGAAACTTGTTGCATACAACAGTGCTCAAGCCTCTTGTCTTTACCTCCCCCTTTCTTTTGTGCTTTTCACACTATAAAACTATTTTTTATTATTATTATTATTATTATTATTATTATTATTATTATTATTATTATTATTATTATTATCTCCCTTTTGTGCTTTTCACATTCAAAACTATTATTATTATTATTATTATTATTATTATTATTATTATTATTATTATTATTATTGTCATTAATATTTATTTTTATTATTATTACAATCTATATTTTTAGATATGTATCAGTGCAATTGGTTGAACACATGTGGCATTAGAACTGACTTTTAAAATTTAAAATTTGAATTTTTAAAATGATTAAAAAAATGAGAAGAAAACTGAAAAAATGGAGAATAAAAATTAAAAAAAAAATGTTTTGTTCCCTACAAAAAAATTCCCCTCATAAAATCTCTCTAACATGCATGACTTATAACAATTGGGTGCCATGAATTGGTACGATTCCACTATCTTGTAATCAAAGACTGAATCATACAATGAAAAAATGTCATGTCAAGAGAAAGATTATGAGCGGTGGGTAGCGCGCGCACACAGACACACAGACACACGCACACATGTATGTATACTTCTTTAACAATGTGAGAGCAATTTTGTCCGATAAAAAATAAAAATACAATATTTAAAAAGTAATGTATAATTGTATCATTATAGAAATATATACAAAAATTAGAAATACCATAATGACTTAAATCAGTCTCAATAATGAAATGAAAAAGCATAATTAGAATATTGAATCTTGTTTTAAATAGTCAAAAAGATATTAAATAAATAAATAAAAAGTAACCTAGCTTTGTTTTAAAAAAAATATATATATATTTAGAAGATGAATTTTAATGGTTCTTTATTTGTAATTTTTGTTTATTTTCTTTAGTATTTTTTACTCATTTTTAAATATGATTTTTTTTATTGTGTTTAATAGTACTTTTAGTGTAGTTTCTAAATAATTAAATATATAAATTTTGTATACTAATACTAAACTTAATATTAAAAAAATTTGAATTAAAAAAAACTCCAGTCAAGTCCCGTTAACTGAACCAGACACATAAAATGGGACGGAAGGAGTATAATTTTACAATTATTGAAATACAGACAAAAATTAGGAAAATTAATGACGTAAATCATTTCGAATAATGAAATGGATAAAACATAATTTGAATATAGAATCTTGTTCTAAATATTTAAAAGGAGATTAATTAAATGGGAAAAAATGTAACCTAGCTTTATTAAAAAAAAAAGATTGAAAATTGATTTTAATGTTTCCTTATTTGGAATCTCTGATGTTTAAATTTGAATGCTATGTATATAATCTAGCTAATTAATTGACCAAAATTCACATTAAATTTTATATTGCTGACTGTTAAGCTAAGTTTGGTAACTTCTATTAGTAAATAGTAATATGATGGGAAAAATAAAAAAAGATATTGATAAATGTAAAAAGATTTTATAAATATACAAGAAAGAAGGAAACAAAATGTAAAGCTTATTATTGCAAATAATTACACAAATACATTTCTTATTCTTCTACCAAAAGGTTGAATCCTCCACCCTAAGCGTCTGTCACACCCCGGCCCGACAGAGTATGTGGGATACATTTCTTATTCTCATTATACTATTACCTTCATTGACTTTTATTACGGAGTACTATATTTTTACGTGCTTTGCGTGAATGAAATAATGCCCAATGATTATTTTTAAATAAGTATTTTAAAGTATATCAATGCAATATTATATTGGAGATGTTCATGCATAGGTAAATAAATATTGAATTTGTTTATTTAAATAAGTAATTTAAAGTATATAAATGCAAGATAATATATGAGAGATTGATTATATTGTCACTAAAATCAATGTTTGCAACTTTGTAATAACGCTAGTCTAAATACTTAATCTAAAAACGAGAGTCTAAATAAATACTACTTTTGGTTTAAATTTCTCTAATCCTTCTTAATTTTCTTTTGGGTAGCATTGTCATTGTCTTTATCTTTAGTACATGTCCTCTTTTTTTTTTATTGGTAGTGTGTCATGTGCAATTGGGTTACTGGTGGTAGTATAGATGGATTCATCGTGCAATGAGATTATGGTGAAAGAAGCTTTAGATTTGTCTTGTTGTGTATATGATGGGATCTTCAATAGTTATATATGTTGTACAACCGTGTGCACCATGCATGGTGCACACGGTTGCAAAACGACGTCGTTTTGACTAAAAACGCGCGTCCCATTTAATCCCCTCAACATCATTATTATGGATATATAGTTATGAATTTGTGGGTTTATAGTTATGAATTTAGGGATATTCAGTTCATTCATTGTGGATATTTAGTTCATTCATTCTGGATTTTGTGTTATTCATTCACTGTGGATATATAGTTATGAATTTGTGAATATATAATTCAAATTATGCACAAAAAAAAAATGCTATTGCCGGGAATCGAACCTGATTTTTTTTTTTTTAAGTGGGACGCGCGTTTTTAGTCAAAACGAAGTCGTTTTTGCAACCGTGTGCACCATACATATAGTGCACACGGTTGCACAGCATAATTTGCGTGGGATCTTAGTTGTATTATTAATTCTTTATCTTACAAGCACCTATTGATATTTGGTAGTGGTAGTTTTTCCCCTACATGTTTCATGCGTTGTGAGATGTGTGTCGTACGTTATCATGTGAAAGTATTGAACAGAATATTAATATTTATTATATTTGTAAAATACTTGGTGAATAAATATATATAAAATATTTTGTATTATAACTTTGATATTTAATTACAAGATAATGTAAAAAGGAAGATAATGAACAATGTAGTGAATATAATAAATTAATAAATCTGAAGGTAATGAATCTTTGAATTGTAGAAAATAAAGATAATATAATTAATGAAATTATATCTCTTTTAAATTTTTTATAATGAATAATTTTTTAAATAAAGGCATTATAGACATCTAATTCTAAATTAATTAAATGCATATGTATTATTTTTTGTTGTAGCTAGTAATTTATTTAAGTTAATAAGAGTAATAAAGTGACGTACATACTTTTCATCAACAATAATGAAATCATTGATTTTTTTTTTAATTTACATTCGTTGTTGAGACAAATTGTTTTGAGAGTTTGTCAATAATAATTGTTGCAATTCTTGTAAATAGAAGATGATAATAAATAATTCAAAATATATAGTTACAATAGATATTGTTATAATGATATAATAAAAATTAACTTACAAATTTCTTTAGAAGTTTTCATGCATTGAAAAAATTCTGATGTGTAAACTTGTTCAATTGGAGCCATTGGGATGTCAACATTGTCAAATTCTTTGGAAAATGGTCCTACCGTTTTAGAGTCCAGATGTAATTGTATTTATGATCAACAACTTTGTAGTTAAGTCGCGCAGGTCTGACAATGATGTAAGAACAATTTTGTCCGATAAAAAAAAATAATAGTATAATATTTGTTAAGTAATGTACAATTGTACCATTACAAAAATATATACATACAAAAAATATTAATACCATTACGACTTAAATCATACCAATAATGCAAAAGTATAATTGAAATATTAAGTTTTGTTATGATCTAAATAATCAGATTTTTTTAATTTGGCTTGATTATGTATTGAACATTTGCTAGTCCTTTGGTTTTCAAAAAAAAAAAAAAAATCAGATGGCATGTAGGAGGTCATGAGATCGAACCTCGTGGAGGCGTTGTTGACTCTTTGTCCTTCATTAGGTTGAGAAACTATGTTTGAACAGATACTACAATGTAATAGAGTTGGTAGCATTCAAAAAAAATCAAAAGAAGATTAATTAAACGAAAAAAAAACATTAACCTAAATTTGTTTTTTCTTAAATGCATAAAAATCAAATGATTTTTAAAGTTATTGATTTATAATCTTTGATGCTTAACTTTAATTTGAATGTTATGTATTTAGTCGGACTAATTATTTAACCAAAATTTATGTTAAATATTATATTATATATATATTTTTAATACATTTTAACATATTCGTAGTATATGTTTAACAATTATGACAACTCTAATTGGGAAGGAGTTTGAACCTAAGACCTTTGTTATAGAAATTAATGAGTAAGTTAAAAATAAGAACAAATTGCACTTTTGGTCCTGTGAATATTAAGGTACTGGCAATTTGAGTACGTGACTTTCAAAACTCCCAATTTAAACCTTTAACTATGCATTTTTTGACAGATTTGGTCCTCCGGACCAAATTGCCGGCCAATTTTGGCCGGAAAATGATTTAATGGTTCGAATTATTTTGTGATGAGGGTAAAAACGTCATTTCACTCCCTTCTTCTTCATTCTCCCTTTCTTCTTCGTTCTTCTTCTTCTTCACCGCATTATGGCCAAATGGAATCATACTCCAGAAATTTCACAGAGGCAATTTATCGTACAGTTGGAGTGCACAAACAAAAAGCATACCTGCTGAGAAAGGTAAACGGCAAAGAAAGACACCCACCACCAATTCTTCCCATACTGGTCACTCAAATCAATGAATCTCCCATCCTCCCTGGCGCCCCACTGCCACTTCTCTCGCCGGAAGTAGTTATGCGTCAGCCTTACACTCCACACCCATGTCAGCGCCACAACCGCCGCCGACCTCCAACCGTCGTACTCCCCCGCCGGATGACTCCGGTAGTTGTGCACTCCAATGCTTTTTGGCCATTAATATGATTCCATTTGGCCATAATGCGGTGAAGAAGAAGAAGAACGAAGAAGAAAGGGAGAATGAAGAAGAAGGGAGTGAAATGACATTTTTACCCTCATCACAAAATAATTCGAACCATTAAACATTTTCTGGCCAAAATTGGCCGGCAATTTGGTCCGGAGGACCAAATCTGTCAAAAAATACATAGTTAAAGGTTTAAATTGGGAGTTTTGAAAGTCACGTACTCAAATTGCCAGTACCCTAATACTCACAGGACCAAAAGTGCAATTTGTTCTAAAAATAATAAATAGTTAACAGAATACTCCGTTACTAAAGTTTATACTAACGGAATTTAGGTTATTTAAGGGAAGAAAATAATACAATAGAGGGTAAATAAGGAAAATCATTAAAAAAAATACTAAAATCAAAATAATATGAACATTTTAAGAAACAATACTATTGGCATTTTTTTTGTTCCAGTTAAGGGCCTAACATTATTGGCTATTATTAGAATTATTATAGATATATTTTAAGATATGACTACTACTAAAATAATTTACATAATTATTAAATACTATATATATTAAACCAAATATATTTTACTATGAAGTAGCATGATCATATTTACCATTTATATTTTAAATAAATAAAATAGGAGACAAAGTAAATAATCAAATATGAGATTGCACCCCAATAATATAAATGATGACTTTGATGTCTTATTTAGCCTTTTATGTTAATCTCATGATGAAATAGTGTAACTGTGTAGGACAGGTTTGTCCTAACCTCCAAGTACCTACAAATATAGAATCAATAAAAAATTGTTAAGTCAGACCATGTTCAGTTATATTATTCACGTACTTATAAGTTATATTATTGTATTTATTATTTTATATTATAAGCTACTATAAAGCTAGTATTTTCATCATCACATTCCGTGTAAGAATATGCTTTTGCTTCTCTAATTTATCCATTTTCAAGTGGGAACACGATTTATATATTTTTTAATATAATTTCTTCCATATCAAAATGACGTGGAGTTTATGCTTTCCAATTTCATTTGTCTTATAACAACACTAATACTAAATAATATTTCATGAACAACTAAATACTGTAATTAGGAAACATGTTTGTTGTATAATATTTTGTACGTCCAGTAGTAAGTTTTTGGTAATTTTAATTTCTGAATGATTCCTTTGGTCATTGACTTTTAAATTTTACATGTTTAATACTATGCTTGTGTTTTGAAAAACAATTTTGGTCATTTTATCGTGTTTTATAATTTATATTAACAAGCTAGTATATTAAAATGATTTGACTATTTGATGAGTAAAGTTGTCAATTTAAACTTTTCGAAACGTTTTTTAACCGAGTTCATATTCCATTCCAATTTCATCAGTTCTCCATAATTTTCATGGAGTTTGGACTTTGGAGTCTTGGGACTGGTTAATGAAAATATTCGAGAACAAAAATTTGGTAGGTTATAATAGTCATGAAACCCAACATATATTGTGAAAAGAAAATGCTCCATTCATTGTGAAAATGTATTATTCTTTAACGTCTGCACGAGTTTAGCTCACTGATTCAGTATGCACTATTTAAAAAAAGAGACCAATGTTTGAACCTTTTCAGAAGCGTCAGTGTGAAATTATATCTAAAAATATTTTATTGGACAAGAGTGTGGAGTCATTGAGGTTGGGAATTCAACCTTTTGGGAGAAGAAGGTATTATTCCTTACCTTTTTTTATTTTATTTTTATTTTTTTTTATTCATTCTTTAACTATCTAATTAAATCTTAAATTAGTTAGATAACTAATATCAAATATTATAGAACTTTTAGTGTGTGTTTGATAAAATTATATCCTATGTATTATTAAATGAGAAAGCATAACTTCACAAAATGCAATATACTTTTTTTTTTTGAAGAGAAAATGCAATATACATTTATAATAATATTATATACGATATACTATTGAATTTAGAGTAAATATAAATTTTGGTCCTACGAGTATTAACAAAATGATAATTTTGGTCTACATGTTCAATTCTTACAAATTTTCTTCCACAATTATTGTTTTAGTATCAATTTTCATCCACAACTATTATTTTAGTGTCAAAGTTCATCACAGGTCACCCATCCGTTTTAGTACCAATTTTCATCCATGAATTTATTTTATAGAAAAAAGTATACAATATTGATTTTACAAATATCAATTGTTATAAATTTTTTTTTAAAAAAATATTAAGACATTATAATTTTTAATATAAATTGTGCAATCTATTCAATATGTATCATTTTGGAATAATATTAGCTAAGTTAGTTGTACAGTTGGTTTAATACCCACAAAATTTTAAGTTCAACTCTTTACCTAAACTGTATATTAACCTTCTTAGTTCGAATTGACTAGTTTTACACAACTACTTAGGCTAAATGGCTAATTTACCTCCACGTAATCTTAAATAAGATAAAATCACAAGACGAACGTCACGCATAATATACTTTGACTACTTATTTTATTTATAGGAAGAGGATACCCGATATACTTTGACTAATTTCAAGTAGAGCATATAGGATTTCTCTTGAATCAAATATCATTTTTGTTTTAATATTTTAACAACCTGTTTGTATTGTAAAATATTAGTCCGTATATGGTTTGATAATATATTAGTAACTGTATGTCTTCATCCAATCATTAAACGTACATTCGAGTAGTGGATAACCTTGTTAATGTTTAGTATCGTGACTCTCTTTATTAAATTAAATATTATTATATTATAATATAATAATCACTCTGTTTTAGACCGCCTGTGCCTTCACGTCTTCGTCCAAAAAACTCTCCTAACCTCTCATTTGTTCTTTTCTTAATTAATTGCAATTAAAAGTAATTAAACAGTTAATTATCCTCTCCAACCATTAATAACTAATGCCATCTCTCTCGATCTCCTAAACATTCTCAACGCCAGTAAATCTAACAGAGAGAACCCTACAAAAGGAGTCGGAAGATATATTCAAAGGGCGTGGCCTACAATTCCGGTGGATTTTGTGTGTATTTAACAGTTTTGATTTTTGTTTAGTTTCATCGTCTCTGCCAAAGGTGAAGGCAAGGAGTGTTGTACAGTACGCGTCGCTCTCCTCCTCGGCCGGCGGCAGAGAGAGAGATTGCCAGGAGAGGTAACTTTGCGTTCTTGAATTTCCGGCTGCCGTTTTAGTGACGTAATCATGTCGTCGACAGCTGGGCAAATTGTTGTCCCGCCATCAACCGCCCTGGCGAAGCGCCCCCCCACCGCGTATCTGGTGGTGGAGCAGGACGGGACAGTCACCCCCCTGCGCGTGAACGGGCACCACAGGAGGCCGAGTTTGGGCGAGGTGGCGGGGGGGACCACGGCGGATTTGGCGGCGGTGGTCTGCTGCTGCCCCTGCGTGCTGGTCAACATGGTGGTGCTGGCGGTTTACAAGGTGCCGAAAGGGGTGGCGCGGAAGGCGCTTGGGAGCAAGCGCCGCCGTAGGCTGCTGAAGAAGGGTGGAAGGTCGGAGAGGCAGCAGAGCAGCAGCGACGGCGACGATGACTCTGAGCTACAAATCGTCCAAGTCTCCTCCTCCTCGTCGGCGGTCTCCTCCGGGCTCAGCCTGGATTCCGACAAAGATGTGGTGGAGCTGGAGAAGGAAATGTGGGAGAAGTTTTACGGCGCCGGTTTCTGGAGAAGTTACTCCCAAAGGAGCGACGAAAGGAGCGAAATAACTGAGCTTTCACGGTAAACTATACTGTCAACAAATTTTAAAACTCAAAGGGTAATAAATACGGGGTAAATCCTTAAAAAAAAAAATAATAATAATAATGAAACTCCGTGTTTCGTATACAAAATTACCACTGTAAAAAAAAAAAAAAAGAAATCCCATTTACAGCCATTTATTTTATCTGTTTCTCTGCTGCTGTTAAGGCAGTGAAAACGGTGATTAACTTTTTCATTCAAGAAATTAATGTATAGGGATTTTTGACAATGCATTTTTGTGCAATTTGTACTTTCTACACACTTGTTTTGATCATATTGTAAACTTCATCATTAAAGAAATAATATATTCTATTTTTCTTCTGGTATTATAATTTTTTTGGCATTTAAATGTAACATCAAATTATGAGGTGTAAACAGTATTGCGATTAAATGTAAATGTAAACAACGCCTAGGCATCGATCTGTCAGTCCGTCGATCATTATTTCACTTAAAACACTATCACGTTTTAATGCTTTTTAAATTAATATTTAATATTAAATAGTTTATAGTTAAGTCTTAAAAAATTAAAACATTTTAAGCAAATTTTGAAAACATAAAATAAAATAAATAAAGCCGATTAATGGCCTCCCAGGCACCTCCGAGATTTTTCATCCACATGTGTATATGAGGCAACGCAGGTCCTTTTAACTTAATTAGAGATTAGAGAATATATATATGATCCTTAAATATTAAAGAGGAACAACCTTAAATAATGTACATAATTGGTTGTTTCTATAAATGTAAAAATAGCTAATAATAACAAAATGTGCAATAATGTTAAATATTGTTAAAGTTCAAATGTTTTCATAAGGATTTTATAATGTCGAGTTTTTAATTTTAATTAACATGATTCAATTTGAATATAATAGTTATTTATATCCCAGGTAATGGCCAATTTCAAATGTAAATTTGTTTATAATTATTTATTGCGTTTGATAAAAATAGTTAGTATCTATTTTAATGGATAATATTATATTATTGCATTTTTTTATTAGCTATTTTTTTTATATTATAACAGGTTACCTAATTAATTATTGGTAACTTGCAAAAAATAAAATAAAAATCAATTACCTGCAAATAATAATACATTGGCCTATTTGATACTTCTCCCTAATAATAATAATAATACACATGTATATTATACTAGTGAAACGAGGGGTCGTAGGCCTAGTTGTCATTTTCTTTACAATCCAAAAGGCTATGATCCAGGTTCCAGATAAATCTAGAAATAGTTCCTTAATTTTAGATATAGTTTTAATTTTGATGTAAAATAATCAATTTTAATTTGTGAGTTTCATGCAAGATTTTTCATAATGTTATTATGAAAATTGCTTAGGACATTGCGATTAAGTGATATTAGCCTTTTAACTTTATGTGTTTTTTTTTTTTTTTGAGAAACTTGTGTTGCCAAAAAGGTTTTTTTTTTTTTTTTTTTGGTCACAGTGGTCAATTTTTTTCCGTGACTTATTTTTTAGTTGTTAGGGTTCATTTTTTACCATTGAAAAAAAATGCTCAAAAATGATTAGAATTAACGAGAATGATTTTTTACAAATGTTAAAAGTGAATGGAATAGTCATTTCTGACCAAAAGTTCTCAATTTTCAATCACTTATAAGTAATATAAAATAAAAATAAAAAATCATGTATTTCTTACACTGTTGGTGCATGTTGTTAACAATGTTGGTGTATTTCTAGAACCCCGCCGCATATGAGCGCTCATATATATATATATATATATATATATATATATATATATATATATATATAAGAGATCTAGTACGAAGAGTTTGTAAAAATGTGATGAGATCTGAGCCGTTGATCAAATATAGATCACTGGCTTAAATCAATAATTTTTTTTTAAATGTGCTTCCTGGGAATACAAAAACTAAGTGTTAAAATGATGCACCTTCATTGTTAAAAATGTCGAACCGTAAGTATTACAAAGATGCACCTTTAGTGTAAAAATGGTGCACTTTCAGTGTTAAAAATGACGCACCTTAAGTGTTAAAATGACACACCTTAAACTTTGAAAATACGCACCTTAAACTTTACAATTACGCACCTTAAGTTTTCTGGAGGGAGAACTGACACACCTTAAGTGTTAAAATGACGCACCTTAAACTTTAAAAATACGCACATTAAGCTTTCAACAATGCGCAAAATTATCATAATATCACCGCATTTTTTTCATTTTAATTTACATTCATTCTGGGCGGTTGATTTTGGCAAGATCAATGACTATGATTAATCTGCATGTTTTACCTAGAGACCTCCTTCGCATTTGATCTCTATTATGTGTGTGTGTGTGTGTGTGTGTGCGTGCGTGTGTGTATATATATATATATATATATATATATATATATATATATATATATATATATATATATATAAAATTCAATTCCCATGTGATTGAATGTGTCCCGTGCATTTGTGTGGTTAAATTTGAGGCATTGATATTGCTAAATCAACGTCCAGGATTAACAATGATTAAAAAATGTGGTGACAGTTTGGCCTTTTTGCATCTAGGTCAAATTTAAGGTGCGTGGTTTTTGTGTTTAAGGTGTGTGGTTTTTGTACTGTGTGCCAATTGTTGAAAACTTAAGTGCGTCGATCTAAAGCTTTAGGTGCGTGGTTTGTGTTCTTAAGGTGAGTCAGGTGTTGAAACTTATGGTGCGTCAGCTTAAAGCTTTATGTGCATGGTTTTCCTTATTAAGGTGCGTCAGTTGTTGAAACTTAAGGTGCGTGATTTGTATTTTTAAGGTGCTTTGTTTGTGTGCTTAAGGTGCGTGATTTGTATACTTAAAGTGTGTCATTTTAATGCTTAAAGTTAGGTGCGTCAATTCTACACTTAAGGTGCATTTTTTTTTGTGTTAACCACACAACCGCACGAGAAGTTATCTTTACACTTGATCCACTCCCTATATATATATTAAGAAATCATATAAAATTGAATGATAATATTTAACGGAAAAGATAATATTTAACGGAAAAGTTAAGGGATAATCATATTCATGAAGGATAAATTAAAAAATCTGAAGGAAAAATTAAAATATAATCAATCTGAGCCATTCATTTGATTAAAAAATTTAAACGTCACTTTTTCTACCCATTATAGGCCTAACACTCTTGGGCTCTTATAAGTATAGTAGATAGTATAGTAAAAATAATAATACCTTTCATCATTCATTAATCAAAATCTTAATGTTCTTTTATGTATTTTTACACTTACTAGTATTTGCCTCGTGCGATGCACGGACAAAAATTTATAAGTATTGTTGTAATGCTATGATACAAAGCATAATTAGTTTTATTAAAAATGTAAGTATAGTTATACAATGTAATATTTAAATGTTAAAGACAATAAATGCATTCATATTGCTACTTTCATTTGCAATAATGATCTTACAAAGTTAAACGGACAAAGAAAGATCCGGACCACCTCGTGATTTACACACACAAAAAAAATAATGATCTTACAAATCTATTAATATGCATTCACACTTAGACGGGAAAATTTTTTCCCTACTTTATTTTACTTTACCTACCTTTCTTTGTAAATTATTAAAAAAAACTAATCAAAATTACAAACTATTAAAAAGTTAGCGCGCGCGCGTGCACACACACACACACACACACACACACACACACACACACACACACACACACACACACACACACACACACATATATATATATATACTAACTTAATAAAAAATAAAAGTTTTAATATAACAAATGTTGGGCCAATATATAATTACATTTTTTTTTTAATTTCTGGGTCAAACCTATCCCATTGTTGCAGCCCATTTTCCCAAAGCTCATTCACAAATTTGGAGGAAAAAAACTAAAAAAGCCGGTTCGGCCAGCGGGTTAGGCGCTCGGTTCGGCCGATTAATCGCCGCCTAACCGCCCGGCCGATGCCGATTCCGGCCGAATCGTCCGCGGCCGAGCCGGGCGGTGCCTAGGCGCGATTTTTGCAACATTGGGTGTATTTTTGAAACCCCACCACACCGTCGCACCGTAAGCCCCGCCGCATATGAGCGCTTATATATATATATATATATATATATATATATATATATATATATATAAAGAGATATGAGCCGTTGATCAAATATATATCACCGGCTCAAATCAATGAATTTTTTTTTTTTAAATGTGCTTCTTGGGAATACAAAAACTAAGTGTTAAAATGGTGTACCTTCATTGTTAAAAATGACGAACCGTAAGTATTACAAAGATGCACCTTAAGTGTAAAAATGGTGCACCTTCAGTGTTAAAAATGACGCACTTTAAGCGTTAAAATGACGCACTTTATGGGTTAAAATGACACATCTTTAGCTTTGAAAATACGCACCTTAAGCTTGTAACTCTCCACTTTTCTAAAACTTAATTACAATTCTAAACCATAATTAACATAACTAAGCAGCGGATAAATAACTTAAATAAAATAACTAGTGGGGAATGTCACCGCCACAACCACCACACCGTAGTGATTGCACAGGCTAAGAAAGAACTAGAAAATAAATAAATAACTAACCAACCATCAACTTAATTAAAGCATAAGGGAGAATAAACACACCCCAAATGTCTACATCATCGAAAATCAACAAAACATCATAAGTCTAACATCTGATAGATAAAGTCATAAACAAGACATAAAGAGTTTAGAATCTCAAACTAAAAGACTAGTCTAACTCGATCACTTCTCATTGCTGGGCCCACCTGAAAGGGGTTTTACAAACAACACATAGACAAATAGGAAAACACCCGTTAGCACGAAGCTAAGTATAACCACACTCAACCTTGTAAAGTACTATAGAATATACTTTAGGAAAACATTTGATAACATTCGTATACAACAAACTCATCTCATAAGCAGCTTTAGTCATATCACATACTCTCTATATGCTTGCAACCTATAATATCAACAGGCATGCTTCGATACGAAAGACTTAACAACTTAGATATTTCAACATATAAACAT